AAGGTGCCGGACTGGTCAATGCTTTTCAAACCATCCAGGCCACGACTTTAATTTCACCCAGTCAACTCGCATTGAATGACACCGTGAGACAAGCTCTATCATACACTATTGAAGTATTCAATTTGGGCAACGAAACAGCCATATACAATATCAGCCATTTCGGAGCTGCATTAGCTACTGGGTTACAGAAAGGAAGTGACCAGCTTATGGGCCAACCGATCTATTCAGCTGACTATGCTGTGAGCTCTGTGTGATGAATTAACAGCACGTAGAAAGATTTGTTTCGAGAGTCAGTTAATAGGGTCTTGTTGACGCTGCAGCTTGTTCAAATAAGAAACTGAGTAAAATCCAAATGCAGTGAAAACTTGCTTGTATGTAGTTCAAGCATGGACGTCGCAATTAGCGACCATGAAGTGACCCTCAGTCTTGGAAAATTTTCGCTTTTCATCAGCGGATTTCCATTTTGTTTGGTCAACAATTATCCAAAACTTTGATCTATCCCCCATCGACTAAAACTGGTTTGCCTGCTCACGCCTGATTGCTTTGGGATACCCTAACTTCGAATATGTCATACTAATTTTGGACGGTGTTTTCTTCGAAATTGTTGATGTCTGAAGTCTACAAATAGGCTTAATCTAGGAGACTAAAGATGATTTTTTATTATGGCCGTAACCATGATTCCTCTTTTCTGCTACTTGCACTCAAAGACACCATTTGCATGTCATGCGTTGTGACAGCAAATGCAGAAGGATTCGAAAAACCCGACCCTTCCTATATATGCATCATAAAGAAGATAAAGAAGATAAAGAAAAAAAATAACGAATCAAACTCTAGTAATATGGTCTTTTATATCAACTTATCTCCTGACAGTGTTTTTATGGTTTCCACTGTTAGCGTGAACATCGGTTTCAATCCATTTTTACTGCTTTTGACTGGCTCGTCCCAACCCAGCGCATATCAGATCTTTGAAATTTTTACTGTATAAATTTCAGTCGTTCATATCCATTTCTTTAGAAAAGAGCTTATGGACTAATCAAATTATACTAGAATTTAAATGCACGAAAAAAAAGTGTCAACTCGAAACGGTGATGAACATCGAAGTCATATTCTCTATTAAAAAAGTGCCAAACAGAACCATTCTCCGGTACCATTTCATGAATCTCTTTTCAGTTCTATCCGGCACTTTTTATTTAGAGAGTATAGTTGTAAGAGAAAGTTATCAAAGATCATTTCATTAGAATTGAATCCCATGTATTTCATATAGTAAACATATGTTATCTTTCTTAACATGAAAAGATTGTCGATATCCAGCCAACCACCATTGAACTTGATCCTGAAAAATCAGGTACGATTACTCTTCGATTTCAAGCACCTTGCAATGCCAACCCGGCTCTTCTTCCCATCTTCTCGGGCTTTATCTATGTTACAAATAATGTGAATGAGCAAGTTGCACATATTCCATGTGAGTATCCGTAACTAATAGCTTTCTTTAACCGTGGTTTTATACGCAAATGTATCTCTCTGTAGATGCTGGTGTTGTTGGAGACTACAAGAACGCACGCATTCTTGTGCGAAATAGCTCGTCACGTGTCGTCACTGGCATTCTGAATTCAAATAACACCTATATTTCAAATACACAACAGGTGAATCTGAACTCATCAAATGGAACCCGGGTCATATTGGTCACAGCATGGGCGTCACGCCTTGTTTTCGTGGAGGCTGTCTCGGGCGAAAACCAAGTTCTACCTAGCTTAGCAACGAGGTAAAACACGATTTCATCTCATCTTGTCCGCAAACAAGATGTGACCTTATCGCATCTCATGCTTTGTTACTGCTACTTGATTATCGGCTCAAAGCCGTCAGAATATATAGGAAAGAAACTAATTTTGCCTAGTTTTTTGTGAGCCTCCGCTCATGTTGGAATGCAGTAAGATTAAATTATGTAGAACAGTTTAACATATGTTAGCGCAATTCCTGCGGGACTCAAAATGCAAAACATGATAACGCTGTTTTCTATAAAGCATCTATCACGGTTAGTAATGGCCTCTAAAGATCATCTGTCATGGTCTATGGAGTTTTCTCGTAAATCGTCTGTCACAATCTGTGTGGATCATTGAAAGCCATCTATCATGACATGTATGTGTAGAGACAGAAGGAGAAGCGGCTCGACACTAGTTTATATTCTCTTCCTTATATACTTCAAAACTCCTTTCAGATGTTGTTCCGCAAAAGGCTCAGCCGTCTCCTGTTAATACTCGATCTATTTCACCGAGATACCCTCACAAACGTAATCTCTATAGTGTTGGAAACAACCTGAGAATCAGAGAAAACTATTGAGCGAAAAACGACTTCATCTTTTCTCTCTTCATTAAATGTTAAAAGGGGCCGCTTCAATACTCGATATTGAATTGAATCCATTTCTAACATGTCTTTTCGTGTTCATCGAAAGATATCACGCAAAGTTTTTAGTTATTACTTGGTTGAACGATTTTTGTATAACCCTTGAAAAAGTGGTTAGGCTCGAAACAGGTTCATGAGAAATTATGTTACATGAAGATTTGTGATGATGATATGTGAATCCTTCCTCGCAAGATTGAAAGAAAGCAGTGATGGAATTTGTGAGTAACAGTAGGAGAGAAATCTTTATTCACCTTTTAAGAAAATACTATTTCTTATCTAATTTCACCTAGACGAACTACTATTTATTCGTCAAGTACCTTCTCTAAACTATTAACGAGATTTACCCGTAATTGTGATGAATGCATGGAGCCACTATTTAAAAAGATCCTCTATTGAACGTCTTTATCAAAAACTATCATGTCTTGGCATCGTAGTGCGAAGAATATATTAAGCGTGTAGTTACTAATCACTTCGAAGAAGAAGGAACAAACTGATGACTGTCTCACTATTTTTGTTTTACATTGCACTTTCAGGTTTTAAGTAAATGAGCTCCCGTAAAGATAAAATAAATAGAAATAGAAATTTCACAAGTTTTATTCAACAATAACCAAGGAATTTGCTTGATACATTTCGATGAATATGAAAAGACATTTCAAAATTGAATTCAATTCGACATTGAACATTGAGGCGACTTCTTCTGAAATTTAGTGCAAAGAAAATAACTGCAGTCGTCTTCCATTTAATAGTTCTCCTTGAGCCTCAGAGCATTTTAAATACATATGTATTTAGTTGGCAATGAAGATTCTCAAAATCAGGCAGTCGTGATTTACTAATCGTGACTAGGGAATAATATCTGTTTTCTTTGCAGTTACGGTTATGTATACAATCACGCCACAGAAGCACCAGCATTTTTCACAAATCTAGTGAGAAATACAGCAGTATCCTTTCGATCGTATTTACAATCGTATGAAATCACTTGGTTTGGTCTGGTTAGTAAAGTTGTTTCCAATGGAAACTCGTCACGGTTTGAAACTACTCGTCTTCCTAATGGTCAATACAAACTTCGATTTTCGGCTCTCAAACACTTTGGAAACGAGAAGAATGCCGAAGATTATGAAATGTACGAGACATCAACCTTCAATTTAATTGGTCCGTCCACGACAGCACAGTCGTCGACGACAACCCTTTCGTCCACACTAACACCGTCGTTCACAACAACAACTCTTTCTTCCACACCAACACCATCGTCCACACTAACACCGTCGCCCACAACTACACAGTCGTCGATGGCAACCCTTTCGTCCACGACAACACAGTCGTCCATTGCAACATCAATCTCGTTAAACATTCGTGGTCTATTGATCTTTCTCAATCTTGCTTTCTTATTTTATTAATATTAATAGAGCATATGAAGTCCTAATTCTTTCAGAATAATTGACTTGTCATTAATTGATCTTCATAGCTCGGCTAGAAAAGAGCGGGTTTGGGTGCGGACGGGATGTGGGCAGAGATGGAACCGATCTAAAAGAATTAGACCGGATCGAATCGGCCGGTATACCGGTAAAAACTGATCTACCGTAAAAACCCAGTCTAGCGATTAACACCGACCTACCGGTAATAATTGATCTGACTTGTCTACCGATAGTATACCAAATACTTATGATGCATTAGTTAATCAGAAAGATCCCGTCTACCGATAAAATACCGAACTAAATACGACAGATCGAGGATTAAAATGTAACCTTTTTCCATCGTGTCTCTTAAGGATTGCCTCCGTACCTTCACTCATACTGACTTAACGCTTCATTGTTGATAACAAGAATTTCATTGAACGACATTCTAGAAACTGTTTGTTAAAACAACTCCTGTATGGTCAGAAGGATTAGCCTTGATGTCAGCTGTCCATTTTTCTTATGTAGATAGTATCACAAAGCAGGAAAATACAAGATATAGACTGGCAAAAGTTGGCCTTGACCGGGTAGAACGGTTTAAACCGGTCAGACCGGCACCGGTTCCATCTCTGGATGTGGGTGTGCGTGTTCTCATTTCCTTCGACGACACTGATACTCCACACTCACACGTATGCCTTGATCGAATTTTTCTCTGAAAAAAAACGATTTTTTTGGAGTACAAATATAAATGATTGTTTATGTAAAGTCATTCAATTCATTGAATTAAATAATAATTGTAATATATTGACATGAACTATTGTTTGTTTTTTTCGTTTCTGTTGTTTTTCCTATTTCTTTTCGTTCTGTCTTGGCAATACACAAAACGTATACATGTACGTGTGTGTTGTTTTCCTTTCGTTCTTTCATCTTTTCTTGGATCATCTCTTGATTTCAACTTATATTCGTTATTGTTGATCAAGGTCAAACAAACATTATATTTAACCTTGATCTTGTTCTCTATTACGTAATAATGATATCTACTACGCAATATCGTTGTCTATTATGTTAAATATATATACTTCTGTTTTTCGTAATAAACTTTGCTTTGACGTATTCACATCAATACGTGACAATTGGCGACGAGAGTGAGATAAAATTTTTTTTTAAGTTGAAATTTTTTTTTAATAATAAAAAAAGAAAAACACTAGAATGCCTTCCAAAAGTACTACTGTTGAACAACCTATACGTTCAAATACATATCGTTTACATGAATTTGATCCAACATCTTACGATTGGGATGATTTGGAAGTTCTTTTCGACACGTATATTGCTGTCGAAGGTGTTACGGATGATAACAAGAAACGAAACTTGCTTATTACAGCTCTTGGTGTTCAACCGTTCAAAACACTTATTTCTGTTTGTAAACCTAAGAAACCTACTGAATGTTCTAATTTGGAAATAATCCAAAAACTTGGTACAAATTATGCACGTGTTACATTTTCGTCAACTGAACGACTTAAATTCTTTGCAACATGTCAAGAATCTTCACAATCTCTTACTGATTTTGCAAATTCTCTTCGAGATAAATCAGTAACATGTAAGTTTCCGAACAACTTTTATAAAGATTCTTTAATTACAGCATTCGTTGGTGGTTTAAAAATGAACATGTTCGAAAACATTTGATGCAGCAAAATTTGGAAACATTTGAACAAACAATTAATGCAGTACGAATATTGGAATCAGTTCTTATTCATGGCGCTAATGCCAAAGGTAGTGCATCAGATGAATTTTCCATCATGAAAATTCAAAAACATCACAAACAAACTTCAAATGTTCCTCAAAAATCAACTTGTTTCAGTTGTGGTTCAAAAGATCATCCTCGATCTAAATGTCGTTTTCGTAATGTTATCTGCCACAATTGTAACAAAAAGGGTCATATTGCTAAAGTTTGTCATTCAAAAGCAACTTCAAACCAATTCAAGATAAATACTATTTTTTCTATATTAAATAAACATATTATAGGTGATCATCCAATACAAATTCCTATTCAAATTGATGCTGTACAAGTTAATTTTGAACTTGATACTGGTTCTCGAATTACAATTATCAATGAATATGTTTGGAAATTAATGGGAAAACCAAAATTACATCCAGTTAAATTAACTTACAATAGTTTTTCAGGTCATCCTATTCCTTTTAAAGGGGAGAAAATGATCAAGGTCAACTATAATGATCGATGTGCTCAATTACCACTTGTTATTTGTGATAATAATCGAAACAATATTCTTGGTCGTAATTGGATTAACGTCTTACATCTTAGTAATAAAACATTAGATGCTATTGTTTCCGATTCATCAATACAAAATATTAATTCTGGGTTTAAAAATTTAAATGATTTACTTATTCGTTATGATGATATATTTAAAGATGGTTTAGGTTGTTGTAAAATGAAACCTCATCTTCATATTAAATCAAATGTTATTCCAAAATTTTGCAAACCTAGATCTTTACCATTTGCTTATAGTCAAGCTGTTGAAAATGATTTAAATCGACTTGTTACTGAAGGTGTTTTAGAACTAATTACTGTTTCAAAGTGGGCTGCACCTATTGTAGGGTGTGGGTGTGTGGGTGTAGGTGTGGATGTGGGTATGGATGTAGGTGGGTGTGGGTGTGGGTGTGGGTGTGGGTGTGGGTGTGGGTGGGTGTGGGTGTGGGTGGGTGTGGGTGTTGGATAAGAGAAGACCCACACCCACACTCTCACCCTCCACCCACACCCACACCCACCCACATCCTTTTCTACAGTGATCTAAATTTCAAGTTATGAATCTTCTAGCATCAGCAAGACTATCATTTAACAGTGCTGAGCATGACAGTGTGGTGTGGATGTGTGTGGGGGTTAAGAGAGACCCACATCCACATCAACACCTTGATTGTTGTGAACAAGGGTGTGGGTGTGGGTGTGGTTCTTGTTCTTCTCTTCGTCCACACATACCCACACACACACTCACGCCCACACACCCACATCCTTAGAACAATTAAAAATTTCTGGTCAAAAGAAAGATCTAAGAACTCAAATAACTACAGCATAAGTATTAAGTTGTTTGGATCGTTTCTGTGAAGTTATCTTTGCAAATCATGATTTTACGTCCTTATACACACAGTGTCGATTAGATGTAATCAAGGACGCAAGAGCAACTTATGAACTTGTGCTAAACTACATATCTCAAGGAAACTATGGATGTGTAGATATACTGTTAGATAACATGAATGAAAACTGTTTCAGCTCCAGAGATGTAGTGCAGATTAAATACTATTTAGAAAGTTCTTTCAAAACCTCTGATACAAGATACTAAAAGTATGGCAATTTGGCTCGATGGAACCATTGAAAAAGAACAGAATCATACAGTTCAAATAAGAGAAATTCAGGAAAATGTTGGAAAAATTCGAACTGCGTTAAGTAAACATACTGTCATGGTGTTATTTGACGATGAAACTTAAAGTACTCTTCGAAGCTTTAATAATGACATAAAGGAAATTTTGTCTAAGGTTTTCTTAAGAGACCTTCTTTCTATCGAAATTTATATCAGTAGGGGTGTGAATTTATTGTTATTGTTATTAATAACAAAAAAATAACAAATAACTTTTTTTTTTGAAAAACTTTCAACTCGAATTGCTGCCTATCACAACTATACTAATTCTATTGGTTTATGTTTAAGGAATGAATTTGCTACGGCTATGACAATAACCGATCTCAAAATTTCAGAATTCGCATAGATCATATACAGGGTAGACCAAAAGTAACAGGATACAAAGTTTTTTCGGATTTTTTTTTCTTTGTATATCAACAGTTGCATCTCTTATTTATACTACATATACTACAGGATACTAGTCAGAGATATGTCATGTGATCAGCCTCTAAGCATAGCAACTGGTTCCAGATGCATACATGTATAAATTGCTCGGACGTGACTACATGAAAAATTTCATCTTTGTTGTGTTACATACGATTTTCAATATTCTTGCCTGTTTATCCCATTTTGAAATAAAAATTCGATTCAATTGAATTTCGTATTCTTTTGGCCTAAAGGAGTTCAAAATGTGATCAAATCGAATTTGTATGCCAGATTGGGATAAACAGGCAAGAATATGAAAATCGTATGTAACACAACAAAGATGAAATTTTTCATGTAGTCACATACGAGCAATTTATACATATATGTGTCTGGGACCAGTTGCTATGCTTAGAAGTTGATCATATGACACATCTCTGACTCAAAGTTGTAACCGGTCTAGAAATTTTAGAGCGGTCTAGTCCGACTGGTGATCGGCTGGTCTAAAAAATACTTCCAGGCCGGTAAAAACCAGTGAGTTTATGAAGATTGTTCATACGATAAAAGTGATATTAGGGGCGAACTTTCTAAATGCTTATAGATTTATACCTAGGAGGAAACAACTGATTTTTTGAAACATTTTTAACAATTTTAAAGGAAAATAATCAATGTAATAAAAAAATAAAAATATCACTCATTCGAAAAAGGTCTAGTCTTGAGCGTTTTGGGCCTTTTTTAAAGCATTTTGTTATAATTTAAACGTATAACTAGAAGTTAATTCAAAAAAAAACACGTTTCACACGTTTAGAGGATAAAGTTTCATCATGATAACTACAAAACGATGATGTTTTCGATTTTCCCGGTAATATTGATTTCTCTGAATTTTTTGATTAGATTGATCTTTTTTGCTTGAAAATTGATAGAAAATAAAAAACAAAAATTTGCTCTTAGGTTTTAATGGAAACATCCGATTAATAAGTTTAACCAATTTACTCGAAAATAAACTGATTCTAGTTCTTTTTCGTATTTATCAGTCCTATCTTTTCTGTAACACATATTGCAGTGAGCTTTGTTCTCAATTCGTCAGCAGTGTCACAGATCCAAGAAATCAGGAATCTTAGAGATCTTCACGGAGATCTCCAATATAACAATATTTCCACCCTACTGATACATTACTCATATCCGATACTAGCCTTTCTCTCTACAAGAAATACTACCTCTCATCACATCTCTGTAAGAGATGCCGTATCTCTAATCAGATCTCTGTAAGAGATGCGGGATCTCTACGATGGAGATCTCCTGGTGAGAAATTTTTTTTTTATCAGGAGATCTCCATCGTAGAGACGCCACATCTCTAGGATTTACATCTCTGGATGTGAATGTGGGTGTGGAAGATGTGGCATCTATTACAGAGACGTGATGAGAGATACGCTATCTCTTTTAGAGATGTCGGATCTCCTGAGGGGTTTCTGATAGGAAGAAAAATACGATTAGGATGTGAGGTATCAGTATTATATTCAAGTGTCGTTAGTATATTGGAGATCTCCGGGAAGATCTCTAAGATCCCCGGTTTTTTGCATCTGTGACACTACTCCAATTCGTTTATAAGATTTTCAATAAGAAAATTAGGAGACAGCCTATGCTTGTGACCGATCGAGATCGTTGACCGGATTCAGTTTATCGGCCGAAATTTTAGACTGATCCAGTTAGACCAATGACCAGCTGGTTCAAAACGTCTATTAGGTCGGTGGAAACTAGCAGAATATAGCCAGCTTGTTGCGTCATTACTAATTTACTAATACAAGATGATTTCAGAAACAGTCATTTACCTTTTTCCTTCCGGTTTTCACAGATCATCATGAACGAATACCATGTTCTAGTTCTTCATATCTGTTTGATTTCTCAAAGATAAATACCTGAGATATTTATATATAGCTTGAAAAAAGTGCCATTTACAGATCAACTGATTGACACATTCCAGATTTGGGATTTTATTCACTTAACCTTTACAAATAACGTAACGCTTCTCTCTCAGCGATGGCTCGAGCCTAAATTTTATCTTCACAAAAAATCTATGAGATAAGTTTAACTGAACTACTATAGTTTTGAATACACTTTTAAAAAAATAAAGCGTATTTCGATTAATAATATGAAATAGATTGAGGTACACAAGAAAAAATTGTATAGTTTTTGAAATAAAATAAGTTGGTTATTTTGATAAGGGCATAAAAACTTGCTATTAACAAGTTTTATCTGAGAAATCTGTACATTCATAAAATATATTTTAATCGGTAAAAACCGGTGAAAACCGGTCTGTCCAATCGCTTCAACCTGTTCGGTCCGACCAGACCGATTATAACTTTGTTCTGACCAGTATTCTCTAGTATATGTAGTGTAAATATGAAATGTACCCTGTCGATATTTAAAGAAAAAAAAACCGAAAAAAACTTTTTATTTTGTTACTTTTGGCCCACCCTCTATACGATCTGTGCAAATTCTGAAATTTTGAGATTGGTTATTATCATAGCCGTAGCAAATTCATTCCTTAAACATAGACCAATAGAATTAGTATAGTTGAGATAGGCAGCAATTCGAATTGAAAGTTTTTCAGAAAAAAAAAGTTATTTGTTATCTTTTTGTTATTGTTATTAATAACAACCGAATAACAATAACTTCTCACCCCTATGTATCAGTGCTGATTAGGGGTGGTGCATTAGCATTAGTATTAGCATTAAATTAATGCGAACATCAATATTCTTGTTTTCCGTTCCTAAGAAAAAGTATTTGAATTTGTACTGATTAATGTAAGGTTAGACGCAGTCAACAGCCCTGATTAATTCCATTACTTTTGTGTTACAATTTTAATACAAAAACATTGTAACTAATAATAAGTTAATGCTTATAATAGTGTTAATTTATATCAGCTACAATACTTTTATATTAAAATTGTAACATACAAGTATTAGAATTAATCAGGACTGCTGGCTGCGTCTAACCTTACATTAATCAATACAAATTCAAATACTTTTTCTTAGAAACGGAAAACAAGAATATTGGTGTTAGCATTAATTTAATGCTAATACTAATGCTAATGTACCACCCCTAGTGCTGATAGTTTTTGTCAAGCTGAACAAAGCATGGATAATCTCAGTTGTATGGCATGCGAATTAGCAAGAATTTGCACGTCTTATTCTGTTACTGAGAAAAGTAAAGATCTAAAGGAAATGCTAGATGATATAGTTAGTACAATTGCAAACCGCTATGAGTCTTTAAATATAGAAGATTATCCACATCATTCACTTAAGGATCTTTTAAAGAAATTAGAAACAACTGAATTACGTAGTAGACCAAGATATGTCGAAGGTCGTATGTATGTACTACGTAATATTCGGCAAAAGTTTAGTTTTGCTATAGATCGTCTATATGATACTCCTTCAGTCAACTGTTCTGCAAAAATTCATTCTTTAAATTACTTAATATGCCTTTGACCAGAAGAATTACAAGTATCATTCAAATTGCATGTCGATGAATTGAGCGAATTACTCACTGATGAAGAGAAAATGTGGAGATGTAATTTTGATGCTCATTCAAATCTTGGTACCCCGACGTTCTTATCATCATAAACATACGTATATTTGTTCAGCAGTGAATAAACTCTGTTTTTAGTTAATTAATGTAATGCGAATCACACCATTGATGAAGTTTCTTGTGGCTCTCGTTTTTTCTTTTACTTTCTTTCCATCCAGAAGTATGCATCAACGAGAGTAAGTGTCAGTATGGATAAGTGTTTGTTTAAAGTGAATCAGCAATAGCTATTTTTGATTGTTCTTTAAATAATTTTTATGTTTTAATGTAAAAACTGAATGAATAAATGAGCAACAAGAATAATAAAAAATGGAAAAAAAACAATGAATATGTGATATTTGTACTTAGCTAAACTGATACAAACACACAGGGACATACGCATTGTTAACTCTATTCTACTATTCGATCGACTGATCGTATATTCCGCTAGAAAGTCAATAAACTTATTTGATTCTAGTTCTTGGTAAAGAATTTTTTCAGGTGAGAAAAATAGACATTCCTGGAAAATCAATAAGCTCACATACAATTGCTTACAGTATTGACTAGTACAAACAATCATATGAGAGAGTGAGAAATATTAAATTAATAACAAATTACAATTTTAACATTACATGTTCCTCAATTACATATTATCAATGATCATGAAAAGTTATTAAATTTAGCCAGTATTATGATCCGAAATTCTTCTCGTAGGTTATGAAGAAAAAAATAAGTTTGTCTGCAATATATTCATTATCAAAAAGCATTTTTTGGCTTCATCAATCGAGCTTGCAACGTGTAATAAGTTTTCAATTTCCATGCATATGACTGCTTTTTTTCTATAACGGCATGGTCAAGAGTCATGGAATATGATATGAGTGTGGGTATTGGCGAGTGAAGAGATGCTTAACAGTCACACCTTTCATATCAGATCTTCTGCGTTTTTATACGTTTTTTTATGAAAAATTTATCACTATTATGAATACTATAAAAGTGGAAAAGTGATAGATTTAACATAAGAAAAAAATTAATAAACGAAAAAGTTTGATCTTCTCTTTATTTGTCACACTGAAACTAAGGTAACTAACATATCGATGTTCGAGATATTCAGGTGTGGCTGTGGGTGTGAACAGTATAAAATTGAGTAGTTAGAGAAGCTCACAAAAAAATGGCACTCTTACTATAGAAGTACTGTTTTATAATATACTACAAACAATGTTTAATTCAAGAAAAGAACTGGGTTATGCGGTACATTTTAACATACACTTTCAAACGAAATTAAATCTGTAGAACGAAGACTCAAAATTCATGAAACAGAAAAAGACAAAAATCATCTAAACTTTTTGAGACATGATGTTCCAAATCAAAAACTATGTCGTT